GTATGTGTGTATAAGTAATATGTAAGTTAAGTCATATATGTTATACACACACATATAAAAATCAAAGAGGCAATCAAAGCATGCACTTTATATGTGTGTGTGTGTATGTGTGTATAGATATATCTAAATATACCTATACATCTACACACACATAATAACACAGTTGAGTATAGTAAGTTAGCAGATAGCACCTATTAAAACCCAAAGTAAATGATCAGGTAATAACTGCTTCCTCCAATCAAATCTTGTTAGACTTATATGGTTTTGTAATAGAAACTGTACCCCATAGTTTGTGCTTCTTTCTTGCCAAATTACTGTCATATCTCATAACAATGTATAGTTCAGTCAAGAAGAGGTTTCATTATGTTAATAATTACATTGCCTACAGGCGTTTCGATGTTGCATTCCCCATACAGAATAGAAACAGATTTCATAGAAATATCATTAAAGCTGTTAACTAAAGGAGGAAAAAAATCAAAGCGGCAATCAAAGCATGCACTTTATTATCAATAAATGCAAATGGTTTCAGAAATGGCTTGCATTTGAAACACATTCAGTGAGGAGGTCATCAGCAATGGAAGTGACTGCTTCAATGAGAGAGCTTTGTGCTGTTAAGTCTATTTGGATCACTACAGATAATTACTTAGATCCCTTGCTACCCTTTTTAAAAATGGACTCAAGAACCTTTTTGAAATTAACAAATGTATCAGGAGGTGGAATCATCCCCAGAATTCTGGCCTGAATTGGAAACATGTGAATTATAGGTCATTATTTGAATGACAACACAGGAGATCCATATTTTTAAATGCACTAATATGTTAGTTCTTAAAAGAAAGGGTTTGATGACTGTTAAATTGATGATTTAGGAACAGTAGGATACATTGTACTCCACAGTCATTTTAAAAGGACTTTAAATATTCAAATGTTCAACTACATAGTCTCTGACACTAACATTTGTCTTCGTTTCAGACTTCCAGCTGAGAAACATCAGTATAATGGGGAAAAGACATCAGTCTTATTCAGTATTACGAAGACAGTGGCATATCTTGATCCTTCTAAATCTTTTTCTGTGAAAACCTTATATTCACATTTTTATTTGAAAGGGATAACTTAAACTCCCAAGATATTTTTAGAACTATATATTTGAAAATCATAATTAAGGTTTTAGTCTGATTATTGCAAATATCAAATTACTGTAAAGATAAATTAGGAAAGTAGACGAGTAGATAGATATTGGAATAGAAACACAGCAAGAGAGAGAAAGAAAAAGAAAAAGGTATTAATTTGTATATGCTATATAAATTAATAATAATATAGCTTCTTAATAATCAGAAGCCCTAACATCTTATAAAACCTAAAATATTTGTTGAATTAAACCAGATGAATTAAATGCCTTTGAATTACCCTTGATTTGGAAAGTTAATTAGAAAAACTACTCTCATAAACATGTTTTCGCTTTTGAAATAGTTTTTTATTAAAAGTTGAAGATATCCCTTCAAAGTGGAATTATTGCCATATTTTCCATCATAAACTATTATAATTAACAATCACTACAAATTACTTGATAATAAAGAATCACTGATTTTGAAAACCAAAAGAAACCATAGATGTGATCTAATCCATTGGGAAGTACCACATGAAGAATCATAAAGCCTAATAATGGACACTATGGACCCTACACCTCCAAAAATGTAAACATTACATTCTTGCAAGCATCAGTTCAGTTTCAGGAGGTCCATGGACTCCTTGACTGAGCCCAGTGACTGATCCGTATCACAGTAGAGTAGGGAAAAGAAACCATACCTTCTGACTTTTATCTTAATCAATTATAGCTCATTAAACTGTGATCTCTCTCTCTCTCTCTCTCTCTCTCTCTCTCTCTCTCTCTCTCTCTC